AGGCTGCTGTTCTTACGAACCTTTTTGGCGGCTCTATCAACAATGAAGGTTTAGGCCTCTTCTCTCTGTCTTTCGACTGGCAATATGTGAGGGAACCAATCATCGTTTCAGCATAGTTGCTTGAAAACTAACGTATTACCAGATTACTTCATTCAACACTTCACTTCCTCTGACTCTGCAGGCTCACTCTGCTATTGGCTTCTTCATTTGCTTCCTTGCAATGATTGGAATCTACTACACAAACGCCTGGGATGCCAAGTCGCAGCCTTTCATGTCGACGCGACTGCGATCTGAGGACGGGACTGCTTATCCCATTGCCAAGGTTTTCACTGGCGGTGTGCTCAACCAGGACGCCCTCGCCAAGTATGGCATCCCAAGGCTCACAGGCAGTTTTGCGTACGCGATGTTCATGGCCAACGCGGCGGTGAGTTATACAGTCCATATGCTACTAGGAACGAAGGCTGACAGAACATTAGATTGGGGCGCTGGTTGCCCATTGCTTCTTTTTCTGGGGCGGAGACGTCAAGAGGGCGTATCAGAGCGCAAAGAGTGGTAGATATGATGATCGCCATCACGATCATATGACCAAACACTACAAGGAGACCCCTTGGTGGTGGTACGTCATTGTACTCGTCGTCAGCTTCGTTCTTGGCCTCGTTGTTGTCACGACACAGAACGTCACGCTTCCGGCCTGGGCATATGTCGTGTCCCTGCTTCTGGGAATTTTCATCGCGCCGTTGGTAAGCATGGAACCCACGGTTTAGCTCCCAGTTCCCAGCTGACTTGCGTCCAGAGCACAATTCTTTACTCTCGTTTCGGTAATGGAATTGCTACGAACAACTTATCGAAGATGCTGGCAGGTCTCATCCTTCCTGAGCGTCCCATTGGCAACATGTATTTTGCCGCTTGGTCGCACAACGTCATCTCGAATGCTGTTAATCTTTCCAACGACCTGAAGATGGGAGAATACCGTATGTCCCAGTGTCTATGACTTGCCGAACTTTGCTGACCTGGTCTACTAGTGAAAATCCCACCTCGTGTTATGTTCCTCACCCAAATCTACGGTACTATCATTGGCGGTTTCATCAACTACGCAGTCATGATCTCTATTGTGAACGGAAATCGAGAGCTTCTCGTGGACAGCGATGGCAACAGTTCTTGGAGCGGTGCAACGATGCAATCGTACAACACCAACGCCACATCCTGGGCGCTGGCGAAGTACCTGTACAAGACTGGGGGCAAGTATGCTCTTGTGCCGATTGGCCTAGGTATCGGCTTTGGCGTTGTCATTGTCCACCGTATCATTGCATACGTAAGTCTCCGATAGCTTTGCTTGAATACATGTATGCTACATTTGCTAACGCAGCTCAGTTTATCCCCAAAATCCGCGGTTACTCCCTGTACGATATTAACTTGCCCCAACTCATCCAATATGCGGGCTATATTCCGTACAATGCATCTCAAACTTGCGTACTCTTCAGCTCGCTGATCAGTGGCTTCTTCGTCCAATTCTACCTTCGCAACTACCGCCCTCGCATCTTCAAGGACTACTCTTACCTTGTCACCGGTGCATTCGACGGAGCTAGTCTTACTGTACTCTTCATCCTGTCGTTTGCGGTGTTCGGCGCCGGTGGCCCCTCTGTACCCTTCCCGACATGGTGGGGCAACAATGCCGATGGTTACTACGATCACTGCCCAGCAGCTGAGTAAACAGTCTCCGTGAGACTTCTTTCGCTTCTTGGGCCACTTCAAGAATAACATGCTTCGGGTTTCGGTGCGAAGATTCTGAGGTAATACTCGGGATGCACTGGGCACTCTACCAGTAGCACAGTTCGGCAAGAATCAGTGGCCATCGAGATGTCCGAAGTTAGCATGATTCACGTGCTCGAGATTAGGACAGCTTTAGATACTCGTTTCTCATAAAATCAAAAGGCTTGGTGTACCCTGAGAATGTTTCCAATGCGACGAACTAGTAATTGGGCTTTGCGTAACAGCCATATGTCTTACTTCGTTTATATCAACGGCCAATCGTCAAGGAACGTTGCCAGCCCTCGATTAAGGGAGCAGGCTACGACAGATTCGTGGTCTTCTCCATCGTAGACCCTCATTGCGAGATGGTCTAGGCGAGTGCTTTCTTGTAATCGTGAATGCATGGTGATAACATTATCAACCATTTGCAGTCCACGGTGTCGTCTCAACCTCCTGTTGTACTCGTCATTGCCCTCTCCTCTCCTCCTCGTTGGATTTTGTTCCTCATCTCCAACAAAGAGCATGAGCGATGGACTTTTCTTCTGACATTCTATTTCCTCCTGAACCTCCTGGAAAAGCCTTTCTTCGGTAAGGATGTAACTTTCATTCCACCAAATGCTGGGGCTACTGGCCAAGATACAGTGAAACATATCTGTTCTTGTGAATAGGGCGTGCAGAGAGAGTAGCCCCCCATACGAATGTCCAAATAGCGCTTCACGGCCTAGAGTCGCCCCCCGGGTCTCGTAAAGCCGCCGAGCAACCAAAGGTTTGACTTTGTTCTGCAGAAAGCTAAGGAAGACATCCGCACCCCCTTCATGACCAGATGCTCCATGGGCAGGTGGAGTGAAATCTCTAGTTCTGCGGGCGCTCAAGAGAAATCTTGAGTCCGCGGGTATAGGGTACCCAATAGCAACTACGATTCCCTGGGTATCTGAAGAGCGCATACATAAATGGCGATGCATTGATTCCAAAGCACTTAGAAACACTGAGTTTCCATCCGTAAGGTAACTAGCTGCCTGTCAGACTAATGGATACGGACATGGTATTCGGCCTGACATACAAAACCGGGATCGGAGCCTCATGATCCTGTCTACTGCGACTCTGCCAGTCTCTTGGGAAACCAATCTGGACGATGTATTCTTCTCCGGAGACACTTCTCAGAGCCCAAGACTCTGCAGAGCCACCTTTCCCAAGCAAGGATTGGGTGCGCATTTTTCGATTCCTGTTGCTCGATCACTATGAGAAGACGGAGGAATACCATCAAGAGAAAATGCACAACACAGAATTACCGGTCTTATCGGATTGTTATACTAAAAGCCCCTCGGCTCGGGCAACGTGTATCCTAAAGTCCGAGTCTTTTCCGCTCGGATCGACGGTTTCCATCACACAAGCTCGCAGTGGACCCATTATCTGCCTGTAATTATGACCCGTAGTTGCGCTCGGCGATATTCGGCCTTTGCATCATCGTCAACAGCTTATTCCGCATCAGTTGGTCGTAGGATCCGGCAGCTAAACACCCATGTCATTAAACGCCATGAAGTTCGGGGTACTTCCCGGAACTCCTTGAACGGTACCGCGCTTAGGCAACTCCAAAATCCTGGCCGTGATGACATCCACTGCTTCCGAGCTTGTCTCAAGACTTTTCAACTACAAAGCTAGCCCGAGAACCTGTGGTCATGTCAAGGAAGTCCCGCTCAGGGCAGCATCTTTGCCAGCCTCAAGGGACAAGGAGTATAGGTCTACTCCCTATGCATGCAAGTCGGCGCCAGATTTAAAATCACGAAAACGTCATGCAGTGTTGTTGATAGCACTCGCTGCGCGGCCAAGCGTTTCGTTAAAACTTTTCGCAGACCAAGCAAAGCCTTCCATGAATTGGGACATAAGTCCCTGCTTTCGAAGTGTTAGAACTGAATCTCTCCTAGGTAAGGTCACTTCATTTTGTTTGAAGTACCTGGTTTGGCGCAGGTACCTTTATCGCAATGACTTGCGCCTTTTTAGCAACACCCCATGTCTTGGAGGCGATTGATCCAGCAGCATGATAACCATGTCCACTGCTGTCTTTGAAGGGACTCTCCTTCGGGTAGATAGTGTAGCCGAGCTTTACGTGACCATCAAAGTCTGGGTTGTTCACTTAGACTCCGGTATTAACCACGTATGCAAAAGTTCCTTTCCTTCCGTTCTCATCGTACGTGTACTCAAACCCATTACGCAGACTTACATTAGTACTGACAGGCTCAGCCTGTGATATGGCTCCTAGCCCCGAAGTAGCTTGATTCTACGTGACCATTCCGTATGCCGGCGTGTCAGCTTAGTAAGCTTAACCTGAGCTCGAAGTCAGGTATCTATAGGATAATAGTTAGTAATTGAACTCACTATATCGTTACCCCCCCCATTCCTCACAAAGTTTCTTTGTCAAGGGAGCCAGCATATGCATGGAACGTCAAACGTTCTTTCAACGTCCGAGATGTCATCCCCCAACAAGCCCCAATCATGAAACACTTCTCTTACCCACTGGATTTGCCCACGGGAGGCGTGTCCATCGACTCCAGCTTTCAAGCTAACAATGTATCAGCTTTGAGGGGCATTGTGTTCGGCGGTCAAATTGTTGTGTCGAGACGGTCAACAATCCTCCCCAAAGTAGAGCAAAAGAGTAGTTGACTGGTAGCTTCATCTTGCGCTGGGTAATCCCACTTTGCATAAGATCAAGAAGTTGCGGACGGGGCTCTTGGTTAATTATAGGCCATGCAAAACTCATTCCGCCGTTGTCTATCATCCCTGGTGTGTAATGACCTTTGTGCTTAACCTACTCTCGTATGTGCTCTAACTATGCCAGTTCAGGCAGATCACGAAGGTATGATTCCCCATACCTTGACTGCATATCACCTCGGCAAGCTATTCTGCATGGGGATTTTCAGCGTAACTTTGAGAGTTGAATGATCTCTGTTATATTGTCTTAGTCACCAGTCCGTATCATGGCTCAGTTCAGCACCATGCAGACTTACGGATCCTCAAATGAGAGTCAGGGGATTGTTTGGCGTCGGATGACCTATAGGTATCTTTACTTTGAGTTGATGGCTGATACCTGAGTGAGGTAACTTCCTTCTTCATCCGGTCAAGACACTTGTAAAACCTTTACCTGTGAGTTCCCGCATCTCCCTGATGAGCCAATGTACCCAGAAATCAGGCATTTCTATTGTTATGATAGGTATTGATCCAATGTATAGTGGACTAATTCAGTTGTGATGATTAAGCTAAGACGCAGCTTTATCCATAACAACACCGGTCGGATCGCGTGTCACCTCGTCGCCCCATTGAGCGTCCCAGCCATTCTCAGCTAGGTACTTCTTCCAAGCTTCATCGTCGTCATTCAGGTGCCTTGAGATGTCTGGAATCACGAAAAGCGCGATGATAGCACCAAGAACAGCGAACCCAGAACCAATCAGAAATGCGACTTGATTTCCCTTGGATGGATCGGTGGTGTACTTGTTCAAAATCGCAGTAAACACCTTTCATATCGTGTCAGTGCAGATCAATTCTGTAGTAACTGACGGTAAGAGTTAGCTTACCTGTGTGCCAATCGCAGCTCCCGCTTTCGAAAAGGCCGAGATAAGCCCCATCATCTGGCCACGTATGGACGTGGGAAAGCACTCGGAGGCTATCAGAACAACGGTACTGTGGGGGGGGTAAGTTAAATGGTGTTAACGGTTACAGAGAATAACCTTACCTTCCTGGGCCAACTTCGCCAAGCGTCAAAAATATGCCGTAGAGGACAACAAAAAGAGGAAATACACCCTGGATAGGATTCATCGCGCCTCCGAGGACAAAACCGAGAATTGCTTGCAACGTAAAACCCAAAGCCATGGTCTGACGTCTCCCAAATTTGTCCGATAGGTACCCACCGATGAAAGGGCCGGGGATGTAAAAACAGTTGATTACTACGCCCCACCCGAGCGTTTTAACAAGACTTTCCTCTACGTTGGCTCTTGATATGATTGTTGAGCTGAAAATTCCGAAGGGAATAGAGATCCAGTTATACAAGAACCATGTTGATGCTGCACCTAAAAGCGGTCGCCAATACCGTTTCAGTGCAAGCCAGTATGGCATTCTCTGCTTCCGCAATGCTGACTTTCGGTACGCTGTCGAGACTGCCATCCGCATCCGGAACCAGAAGATGAGAAGGGGGGGTGCCATACCCAACGCAAACGAGGTTCGCCAAACAATATGGTATTTTGAAACTTGCTGGCCAACGCACAACAGCAGCAGCAGAGGCACCAAACCTCCCCAAACATATCCTAGACTGGCTGATAAGTCTGCGAGCATCGCAAACATGAAGCCCCTTCTTTTGCGAAACTTGGCGTCTTCGTCGGTCGCTTCGGCGGCACCAGCTCCAGAGACTGGGTATTCTCCTCCTGCGCCTACACCGGCAATACCACGAGCAATGATAAGCATCCAAAACATGCCTGTGGTCGTGGTACCACTGGCTGCAGTCGACAAGGCGATGCCTAGTACCAGCAAGATTGTTGTGGCCACAGCACCAGTCTTACGGCCAAGTTGGTCACTGATGACGCCGAAAAGTATCATTCCCACAATCATGCCGATCAGAAAAGCATTGGAGAGCCTCTGGTATATCGTGGTAGTCAGATCGTCAGGGTAAAGGATTGCAAGTAGCAGTTCGACGTTTCCAATGACGGCGGCGTTGCTGCAGCATTGTGAGCGATACATCTTGAGAAGAAGGCAGCGAGAGTAGATGTCCAACATACTAGCCATCTGAGCCTATTGCCAGTCCCGAGAACAAAACCATCAACCAAACAGACAGACTGCTGTAGTACGTCTTCTGTGGTCCTTCTTCTACTACCCCTACTTCGGTACTATCCGGGGCCTTGCTTGCGATTTTCTTTTCGTCAGTAGCAATTTCGTCATCTCTAGTAGCTGTTCGCTCCTCAGTACCGGAGGTCGCCCTGTTGACTTCTGGCATGGTGACCATTGTGTGGTATCATCCGAGTCAATGGCTCCCAAAATACACACCAAATGTGTGGTATAATCTAACACACAAGGACACAGCTCCAAACGTCTTCATATGGGGCAGCTCCCATACTTAACTCGAAGGACGGCACTTCATGTCGGCGCATCTATGCCGAAGAGAAAAGCGACGGCGTACGCCGCGGCATCCTTGCTTATCTTTTGTCCTCCGGATCGGCCTTGTAAGCCGACGGGAAACTGTCTACCGCTATCGACACCCATGTCGTAAACCAGAGGATGGACGCTCGTACCTGCTGTTGCTGCTGTAATCCTGGCATGACTCGTGTGGAGAGGCTACCCTAATCCGGGAAAGGATCTCCAATTCCTGCACCCCGGAGAGGGGTAGAACGCGAGGTCGGAGACCCTCCGACGTCTGATTTCTCGGCACTGCTTCATCCTGGTGTGCTCGCTTGCGTGCTGTTTATTCAGCGCAGAGAGAATGCAGATGTTCAAGTCTTTTCTTGTCTACCTCTACTCCTTCAAAACTTGCTCGACGCAGTCCGCAACAATCGCAATGCTTGTATCAACAAAATGTTTAGAGGGCATACCTCTGCACCAGGCACAGGTGCAAAGGCATAATACCAGACGGTTCCCAAACAAACTACAGCTTATTGCGACTTCATTGCTCTTATATGCATCCATCTCATGCTACTACTTTCTGTCGTTCCAGTCGCGGGAACGTACGTCTACTCCGTACCAGAAAGCCCAGCAATGCACTATTGATAATCTGCACGCCGACTTGTCTTTCCTCGACCCCGCCGTACCTATCTCTACGGAAGAATTCCTTGAACGCAGAGATCGACTGGCCCAAGCTCTGGTCGCATCAAATGTAGATGCGTTCGTCTTGGAACCTGGCTACACTTTCCAGTAAGTCTTTCTTCGACAACCCGAAGACCTCTCAGCCTCGGAGTACGTCAGTCCTGACTTGGGGACAGGTATTATGGCAACATCTCTCAAGTTGACTGGGAACCTTGGGAGCCTGAAGAGCGGCCATTCCTCATGCTCATCCTCCCTCATGTGTCTTCTTCTGGTCAGGTGAACGCCAAGACTGCCTTCTTATCGCCTCATTTTGAAGAGGGCAGGGTACGGATGCTCGGCATACCAACAAGGGAAGACGAACTGGACATTGTCATCTGGGAAGAGCATTGGAACCCGTACGATACGCTGCTCAAATCACATCTCTTCGATGGCCATCATGGAAAGCTCATGGTTGACGAGGAGATTCGTGACTTCATCGTCAGAGGACTGGATGCTGCCGGGTTTGAGACGGTCGGCCTCTCTCAGGAAGTTGAACTCGTGAAGCAGCAGAAAAGCCCTGCGGAGGTCGAATTGCTTCGCGTTGTCAATACTGGGACTGTTGTCGCCGTTAGAGCGATGCGGCCTTGTCTGATGTCGGGGCTTACAGAAGATGAAGTCACCGAAATTCTCAATTCTGCTCTCCTCTCCATCAACTTTGGACTGTTCTTCAATATTGTGTTATTCGAGGAGCACGGAGCGCTTCCTCATGGGGGTTTTGTCACTGGCTTCAAAAAGTTGACTCCTGAGAGCATGGTTGTCATCGATGTTGGTGCCCATTATCTGGGCTACAGTTCGGATATTTGTCGCAGCTTCTTCATCGATCCACCAAAGCCACAGTCACCTACTATGATGGGTGCCCTACTGAATACATGGATCCGAAACCCGGAGGGACGACAACATCTCATTGCGGACGCTGAGCTGCGTGCCGAGAAGCTCAGGGTCTGGGACATTGTATTGGAGGCACAATCAGCTGCCGCCGCCGCTTTCAAGCCGAATAACACAGCAGCAAGTGTGGATATTGCAGCTCGCCAAGTCATTGAAGATGCTGGCTATGGATACGGTTTCACCCATCGTTTGGGTCACGGTATCGGTATTAAAGGTATGTTCCCTAATATGCTCCTCATGATCGGGGGTCGAAAGCAGTTATTGATCCGTATCACATAGCTCACGAGTCGCCGTACTTGAACAAGTGGAACAAAGATATCTTGCTTAAGCCCGGTATGACATTCACGAACGAGCCTGGAATCTATTTGGAAAACAGATTTGGCGTCAGACACGAAGACATCTACTTAGTCAAAGCATCGGGCGAGGCAGAGTTACTCACTGGTCGTAGGGCGACTGGACCATACGATCCATGAAATACCTTGGTTCTTAGACCTGATACTGCTAGTATGTGGCGGCCAGCATAGTCCCGCTTTGGTGAATACGAGAAGTAAACTTCTTAGAGACTAGCTATCTTTCTCTTGACTACCCTTGATTGCAATGGCATTATCCAAAGTCCTTAAGTGTTTAGCCAACATCTCCAATGGTACCTACCTAGTCCCTGCAACAAGATTGTACCACTCTCCATCCGAGCGACTGGGACGACGCAGGACATCAAGCTGGATTAACACCACCAGAATGAAGATTTCAGATGTTAAAGAGACATTTATCAGTAGGCGATATAGGCCAAATGTGTTAGCAAATTTCCAGCTACCTTTGTTGTTGGGTCCGACCTCGTCCAATACCATTGGCAACAGTGAGAGAGTTGTGCGACTTCGCTCTTAAGCAGAACATTGGCAACCAGTAGAGTTGCCAAGTCTGCGTCCGGAAATTTTCATGTCATTCAGATAGGGCTTCTCGATATTGGCTGAATTGCTGAGTCCATCATCTAGATGCTGAAAGTGAGCTCTTTCTCTGTGGAGCTTCAAAAAATAAAAAAATAAAAAGGACATCGGCTGACGATCAGGGTGAACCCCTAGTCAGGTTGGGGGCTGGCGACCCATAACTGTGGCGTTTCGACGTCTGAAGCTAAGGTAAGGTACGCTGATCAGACGAGGAAACCCCTGGACTGAACCCCAAACCGTCATGGAGGATCGGGAACCCAAACGAATGACCCAATGTGCGAACGAGAAATTGCCAGCTCGCGCTTCAAACGCCCTGAGTTTCAGCCGCTGTCAACCAGATCAATCATCCGACTTCAAATCCAGCTGCGATGGCTTCATAAACGAGGCAGCTCCCAGACTGAAAGATTGCAGCAAAGCCTAATGCCTATAGATCAACATTCAAGCAACATGATTAGTCTTCTCTCGACCGCAACCTTTGCCCTCGCGGCGACATTGGTCGTCCCCGTGTTATCTCAGGATCAGAAACCCACGTCGGGATACGTATGCACACACCCGCCATACAAGGTCCACATGATCTCTAAATCCCCTCTTGTGGTTTATATCGCCGACTTCATCACGGCCGCAGAGCGGTCACATCTGCTGGATATGGCGTCAGTTTATCTTGCAGTGTTTGTGTAATAATGCCACTAATCTGTATCAGGAGCGGCACGTTTACCCATTCTGGAGTTATTGATGCTTCTGGAGGCAAAACCACGCACGACGTACGGACATCTCAGAGTACCAGCCTGTGGCGGGATGATGTTGTTCGCTGCATCGAAGAGCGCGCAATAGCGTTCCAAGGGTATGGTATGCCTAAGAGTCACGTAGAACCACTGCAGCTGGTCAAGTATGGAAAGGGACAGCAGTACCATTTTCATACAGACTGGTTCACAGATCCTGCACACGCCAGAGCTCATCTAGGCGGCAATCGGCTGTCTTCTTTCTTCGGTTATGTGTCAGCGGTTAACGTTACCGGAGGTGGAACCAACTTCCCGCTCTTAGACGCCCCTTCTGACGAACGATGGTGCTCTTTCATTGACTGCGACGAGCCTTGGGAGAGAGGCGTGACATTTCGGCCGTTGGAGGGAAATTTCGTGTATTGGGAAAACCTCCACGTCGATGGTTCTGGAGATCAACGTAATTTACATGCTGGATTGCCGGTCACAGATGGACAGAAGGTTGGGATGAACATCTGGACGAGACAAGCACCGCTGAGCAAAGACATTCGAGGAGATTAGTAAGACTCTGGAAACATTCAAGGTTAACTTCTAGAGGGTATAAGGGCTTGTAAGGACGAGCATAAGGGCCAGACACCAAGGAACCTTAACACACTTTCCCGTCTCTTATGTGTCCATGAACCTAAGGTCAGGTTCACAACTTTACGGTGGCTTGTGGTTCGAGATGGGTCAGGGAATGGCCACCTCACACATGAAGACTATCTAATTTAATTATTCATGTGAAAAGTATTACCAATTGCCTACAAAATAATACTATGCGGCAGCTTATGAATGCTGGTGAGATGCATGGATATGCACAGCACTGTACTAGGCCAAAAGGAGAGGCATTGTATATAGTAACTATACTCGGTTGACATGGTTATAAGCCTCTCTCTCAATGACCAACTAGAGACTACGCAGATCTCCGTGGTCATTACCCAGAATCTCAACAGTGAGTTAGAGAAATATTGAACCTAGCTGATTCCGAATAGAACCACACGCCAGATTGCGATGTATTCTACGTGTGACCCAACCTTTGACTTTACGCATGGCAATACTAAGGATTAAATGCATCACGTGTATGATTGATTGTGTGAGAAAGCCGGCCATATCATTGAGTGGCCTGTCGAACCATCTTTGGAGATAGGTGCTAATATTGATTAAGACTCATCAACGGACGGCATTCAAAGTCAACTACTTTCCAGCCTACATATATGATTCATGAACATGTAAGAAGTCTTAGGATGCATAAGACTGAGGGACGAGCTTCATGCGGATCCCGCTGAGATGATCTGGTAGCCGATACGTCCTTGCAAATGGCATGAAACTGGGTGGTCTTTAGATTCCAAGGTCGAACGTTCCTTGACTGATCCTGTCGGAAGCTGCACCTTGGCCTTCAGCTTACATACCTGCAGATGTGATGGACTAGGAATAGACTCAACTTGATGTTCTGCCTAAAAATATTGTGCTTCCACGAAAGGCGAGAAAATGCGTCCCCCCAATCTCTTTTTGCGAGTAGGACCCCGGAGATAGCTGCCCAGCCATTAGACAAGTTGATGACTTGATATGAGGGAGATGTAAATACGCTACGTATTTCTCAACTACCCCAGCAATGGGGTATTCTAATTGCATTTACAGCTTACCTATTGGGTAAGTCGAGCCAACTTCAAGTAATTAGCAAAGTGATGTCAATCGTGCCGCAATAAAAAGTCCTTCCAACGCCCAGAAGAGTGAGAATTCAATGAGAAGAGCAGCGCCCGTTGTTGACATTAGTTCAATATACGTATCGTGCAGTGAGTACGGTAGCCTTGAGTTGTAAGTGAATGCAAGGCTAGCACGCGATTTCGCTAATAATGATAGTCCTGGTGACAGGGTGATGCAACTCTGAGAAGGAAGGCTAGGATCCTGATGCCTAGCCGCCGAGCCCCAAGCCTGATCTGAGAGGCGATAGGTCGAGCCCACCTTTTGTCAAATCTTCTTCTTCTCGTCTCTCCCTAAGTTGATTGAAATTCTCTCTAATCTTCTCTCATCTTGATAGCAGTACACGTTGCGTGAATGAGTGTGTCAAGAGAGAGGAAGTCAAATAGAGCGAAGGGCCGGTTGGTATTTTGGCTTTCATATGTGGTAATAGAATGAATTGGCGAGAAGCACAGCGGCGGGGTAGACGGAAGTGGAGCAACGACGAGGATCCAGGTTATGCTGATGGAGCGGCCGCGGGATCCGATTTAGCTCTATAATACACCACTGTGTGCCAGTGTGGACGGAGGCGCGTTGTTCTTCCGAGAGCTAACGAAGCCGGTTCAAGGCAAACCTATCAGGATGTTCAGCAGCAGGTTTCTTTGCCGAGTGGGTCAGTGTCATCGAGAGTGTCAGTGAGCTTGACAGCTGGCGTGGCTAATGAGATGGCATAACGACTTCCATTTGGTTGGGATATGTCTAGAGATAGGGACGGTTGGTGCCCTGACTGAGGTGAGTTTAGTGGCATGGACGCTTTATAGGGCACAGCAGTCAACACTGTAGTACCTTGGTGTAGGTGAGAGCCGTCGCTGAGTAAAGCGCCTTCGTCTCACCCTCATAATACCTCAATCCCTGTTCCGAATGGCTTTTTCTATGTTCTATTATTGAGCCAGTCGTTTATTACTTGAACCTAAAAGAAGTTGCGATAGACCGGTGGGGTGGTATGGAGATGCGAGAGTTTGGAGGAAGTGCTTAGGTGGGCCGCTGCTCAGAAAGCTTGACTTGACTCGAGAATCAGTGACGGCATTTCTGAGCATGTCGCGAGAGCTGAGTGTCGAGGTTCTTTGTTCAGCCCGCCCTGGTGGTGTTGAACTCTTTGTCCGGATGCATGAGCCAAGGCCGTGCGGGTACCTAGGTATACGCGGGTTTGCCATACTGGACACTTCAGGGCACAACTTAGTAGGAGTTTACCTGAGCACCGTGGCACCTAAGGTACCCAAGCGCCCGACCCTACTACGTACTGCGTAGTTCCGTGATCCCCTTGGGCGGGTGGATAGTGAAGCTCGTGTTGACGGATGGAGTGGCTCAGTGGCTTGGATTTAGGCCGGGAAATGCAGTAAGTTAGCGTCCGCCAAAGTCTTGGACGGCCGGGTGACGGCCGTGACTAGGAGAACGTGGAAACAGGACAGCAGACAAAGAGAAGCCGTTTACTGTTTCGGCGCGTTTTGGAGGGACGGCAGACGTTGAAGAGCACCAAGCAAGCAGACAGAGAACGCTACAAGTGGCCATGGTTTTGTCCGTATGACATGTCATTATGGCAGGCCACAGACCACACACGGATAGATGAAGATGAGAAGGTGGTCTGTGCCTGATACTGTGCAAGTTCTCTCGAAGTGACAATGGAGGTGAGCATCTGCATCCTTCGATTCTTGGCCGGTCTGTAATACACAACTAGGTGCCTGAAGGTCACATTTGACTGGGTGCTTCACTTGAGGTGGTTGTGTTATGCAGACTCGGAGTGGTAGTGCAGGTATTCGGAATAGTTCGTATTGACAGATTGCACACCCCTTTTATGCTCATGATCCGCTAGTGTGCATCTCGGTTATGCCTGCCGTTATTCCCTTTTTGGATTGTCTCTCTTTTCCGATCCACAGCAGTGCAGCATGCCTTCTTCTTCTTTTCCCCTTGCTTGCTGCTTGCTGTGCTTGCATTCATCTCGTCATCTTTTAGGAGATGCCTACCCCTAGGCGGTCACGAACCAACCAAAATGTGTTTTTCAAGCACAAGCATCGCCACCCCTGCGTGGGATCCTGCAGTCTTTTGAGATTCCACTGTACGTGGTAATGAGGTGGGAAGGGGAGGAGCCCGGCGTGGCAGCGAGGAAAGCGCAGGCGAGTCTGGCAAACGGCAGGATGTTTCTACTGAGGTAGGAACAGAGAGAGGGTAGGTATCCGTACCGTGGACGAAAATGACGTGAGATTGTGTCTTTTTACCTTCCCTCAAGGTACCTTACCCAAGGTATGAAGGAAGAACCTAAAGTGGAAGGGAAGGACGAGAGAGAAATGGAAGCCAGGAAGGAATCTAAAAAAGTCGCCGGTCGGAGCCTGGATATGCGGGCCACGGCACAGGATACGTACCTGCCCTGGGGCGATGTCGTAGGTACGTACTCCGTACTCACAGAAAATGGGAAAATGGAAGGTACCCTACCTAGTCGGTCTCCATTGCCCAACGCGATCAAGGTTCATTTCATCCTGAAAGCCAAGCCAAAAGAAACCCACAAAATGCTAAGAACAAAGTTCGTCCACCTCCTCAACTTCGAACAAGACAGTGGGGACAAGCCGTGCATCTCGAACTTGACTGCGACGATACTCTTTTACTCCAGATCCCGCCTCCCTGTCTCCCAACTCTTCCTAAGGTACGGATGCTCTGGATCAACTATAGTTCCCAGGAAACGAGGACGTCTGTCAGTTGCTTGGTCGCTCTGGCGGCGCCGTATCTTAGCTTGCACGCCACCGTCATGAGGTGCATGTCAAACGTCGGCCCTAAATCGTATCTATTAGCAAGGCGGTAGGTCCGGACACACCAAGTTTCCGTACAAAGGTACCCGGGTTCAAGGCAAAGCTAAAATGGTTACAAGGACGGACGGACCGTTTTGGCCCTCTGGCACTGAGGTACCTTGGACTCTTGGAGGAGTCCAAGGTGCGAAGGTAGGGCGCCTTTGGTTGGTACATTACGGACCTTACTCCTGAGTCCTGCGAACGATATCCGCGCTGCAACGTCCCTTCACACTTTGCCTTTGGACACGACAATCTTTTGATGCTGCAAAACAGCCTAACAGGTGGTGCTTGGCGCTTGGCTCTCGGCTCTCCACGCCATCCATCCATCTCAACCCCATTCTGGTCCAGCGCGTCCTGGCCCTCGGGTCCATTTGCCATCATCTTTTACGCACTCTAAAACTTGGACGCATGCTGCTTCACCTCATCTTGCCAGGACACTGCCTGCCCAAGGCACTTCGCCCAGCCTCATGTCTCTCGCTTTTCTCGCTTTCCCGCTTCGACTACCTCCTTACACACTCGGCACTGTACCTGTTTTTCTCTAGAGTATTCGTACCTAGGTAGTCCAGATATTGCTTGACTCGACTCGCTACATACTACCTTGGGTAGGTATCTGTACCTCCTTGGCTTACCTTGTCAGTACCTTTCCATCGGACTAGGCAGGGGTTCAACTCTTCTTTTCTGCGACGGCCCGCCCTCCACCAGCAGACTGAGGTGCACTTAGCTCCAGCCTTTTCTCCTTTCGCCTTTGCTTCCGAGTTCCAACCAGACAACAGGCTTCGTTGTATCGCACCTAATAACCCGTTGGCATCGGCGCACAGTGGCTGAGATATTCCGACCCTGAATATCCTTCCTCGCCGTTCCCTCCTTCTCTTCCACCATTCGTCCACTCTTTTGGCTGCCGTGCCTAATTCCATTCCCGCTATTCTCGACCTTTTTGGAACTTTCTCACCTGCCACTTCTTACCAAGTTCTTCCGGCGACACGACTACGCGCAAACCGCCAGTCTACC